AACTCCAAGCCTTTCCCAAAGGATATTGAACCCTTATTAAACCCTTATTAAAGAACAGCTTTTCCACAATTTTCCAAGGCCCTGGACCAGGAGAGGCTCCATTTCACTTTAGTAGGTTTGTTTGCTGGGTTCACTATTGCAGCAAGCTGTGCCAGAGCAGCCCCTGGAAGCCCAGAAGCGAAGCAAGCCTTTCCCAAAGGCAATTGCCAAATTCAAACTCCAAGCCTTTCCCAAAGGAGCCAATCCCTTGTTAAACCCTTATTAAAGAACAGCTTTTCCACAATTTTCCAAGGCCCTGGGCCAGAAGAGGCTCCATTTCACTTTAGTAGGTTTGTTTGCTGGGTTCACTATTGCAGCAAGCTGTGCCAGAGCAGCCCCTGGAAGCCCAGAAGGGAAGCAAGCCTTTTCCAAAATTGCCAAATTCAAACTCCAAGCCTTTCCCAAAAGAACCAATCCCTTATTAAACCCTTATTAAAGAACAGCTTTTCCACAATTTTCCAAGGCCCTGGACCAGGAGAGGCTCCATTTCACTTTAGTAGGTTTGTTTGCTGGGTTCACTATTGCAGCAAGCTGTGCCAGAGCAGCCCCTGGAAGCCCAGAAGAGAAGCAAGCCTTTTCCAAAATTGCCAAATTCAAACTCCAAGCCTTTCCCAAAGGAGCCAATCCCTTATTAAACCCTTATTAAAGAACAGCTTTTCCACAATTTTCCAAGGCCCTGGACCAGGAGAGGCTCCATTTCACTTTAGTAGGTTTGTTTGCTGGGTTCACTATTGCAGCAAGCTGTGCCAGAGCAGCCCCTGGAAGCCCAGAAGGGAAGCAAGCCTGTTCCAAAATTGCCAAATTCAAACTCCAAGCCTTTCCCAAAGGATATTGAACCCTTATTAAAGAACAGCTTTTCCACTAGTACTACAAGTACTACAAGTACTACAAGTACTACAAGTACTACAAGTACTACTACTAAGTACTACAAGTACTACAAGTACTACAAGTACTACAAGTACTACAAGTACTACAAGTACTACAAGTACTACAAGTACTACAAGTACTACAAGTACTACATGTACTACAAGTACTACAAGTACTACAAGTACTACAAGTACTACAGTACTACAAGTACTACAAGTACTACAGTACTACAAGTACTACAAGTACTACAAGTACTACAGTACTACAAGTACTACAAGTACTACAAGTACTACAAGTACTACAGTACTACAAGTACTACAAGTACTACAAGTACTACAAGTACTACAAGTACTACAAGTACTACAAGTACTACAAGTACTACAAGTACTACAAGTACTACAAGTACTACAAGTAATGCAAGTACTACAAGTACTACAAGTACTACAAGGACTACAAGTACTACAAGTACTACAAGTACTACATGTACTACATGTACTACAAGTACTACAAGTACTACAAATACCACAACTTCATTGGCAAAAAAAACAATCTTAATTAGATTTCGATTGTAGCCAATTGAAATCCTTACTTAATCGAGGATATGTTTTTCTTTTGGGAAGAATTTTTTTGCTTTTCTACTTTAAAGAGAGTCCAGATATAGTTTAGGGGAGGGGGGGGGCACACACTAATCAGGAACCAACATTATACCGTACCAGTTTCTTGTCGTCTTTTTGTGGGTTAATTCGGTGACTTCCCGGTGTTTCACCAGTTTTCCATGGTGAATTTTCCAGATTCGCAAGGGATCTCGCGTTCCAACCGGCCGGCTGTTTTCGTTCCCACGCGGTGAAAACGTAGGGGCAGGGGCAACGTGCAGACCGCTCGACCGAAATTTTCCGGCTGATGGTCTTGGGAAGGCACTGGCAGTTCGCCCATGAGTTTGGATCCAAATGCTGAGAAGGTGCTTGCAAAGCGGAGCAGCCCAAACGATAGCTAAGTTGGTGAACATAACTCCAATAACCATGGATTATAAAAGTTATATAATCATATAGTTAATGTATGTTAAGCGGCTTTCTAGACCAACTATCGATCTCTTTGGATGAGCGATTGCCAGGGCGAAACCAGGTGTCTGCAGGTCGCTCAAACGTTCGCAAAAAATGCTGGGCATTGAGTATACCGTTAGTTGATCAGTTCGCAATGGAAAATCACCATGTTTACCATCTGGTTATTTAACGGTTTGCCATGGAAAATTACAATTTTTAATAGGTAAACCATCTATAAATGGGCCATTTCCCATGGCTATGTTAAATAACCAGAGGGTATCATTTTTTGATATTTTGACAAGCAAATCATCGAACTAAATGGGCCAAACAGTACATCATGGCCAATCTTTTAGAAACTGCCAAGAGACCAAAAAAAAATAAAAACCTACACCAGCATAATCGCAAATGATGCGTCTAATCTCTTTGGGGGCTACTGTACAATGCACTAGAGATCCCGCGGAGACAAAACACATTGTTGTCGTCTGAGCATCGGACACCCGCAAAGGCCAAATAAGCTACAAACGAAATGGGCAGCGAAATAGGATGAAATAGGTATGGGCATGTTTTATCATCTAGCATCATGGGGTAAAAGCCAACAAGTCGCCCAATATGGGGAGAACATGAATGTCAGGAACACTTATGACATCATATGACATGCCCTTTTTGAAGTGTGCACTTACAAGTGGTAAAACTATCCGTGAAAACCTTGGATGTTCAACATGCTTTGTGTTTCATGTTCTTTGCTGTTCCAGCATCCCATATATTGCAATAAAAAACAAAAACCCAAAGGTTGACCCACGAAGGCGGTTGATTTCAAATGGCATACATCATACTGCCACTGCACATTACATGGAAAGTGGAGAAAACAATTACCTTTTGACCCTCCAAATATCCTAAAACAAATGGTAAAAGCATATGTAAAGATACTAAAATTATGGTTCGTAAAACACCCCCCATCTATCCATTCGTAAACGTTTACGAAGGGTCGTTCAGAAATTCATATGTCAAAAAAAGGTCGCCCTGGGATGCCGAATAAGATGAGGGATGATCACCACCCAGCAATAGAAAATCATGGAAAACATATGAAAACATCATGGAAAATGGGAAAAAAACCCGAGCTTTTCTTGTTTCATGTGTTTCAGAGGCAAATCAATGTGAGAAAAATCTGCACACTTGGGATGAGACCTATCGAATATTAAAAACCCTTTCCTTTCTCCGCTTCTTCAATGATTCACATTTTTTGGATTCTTGTAAGTTGGAAATTGGGAGTCCTTTTAGTAATTATTAGATTCAAAGCCAAACCTTCCGCACATGTAAATCAAGATTAAACATCCAATTTTCCTAGTAACAAATACCCCGAATAAATACAACATTAAACCAGGGTTTCGTTTGTTGCTATTTAAATATATGATATTTTGGGGGAGGGATTATCAACATCTTCTCCATGATGTTATCAAATCCTGACCAGGTACCCATTCGTTCTCCTCCGATTGGAGGGGTTTCATGGCTGAGTTCACCATGGGCACTGGTGACGCTGCGTCGCGTGCCGTGACTTCTTTCTTAAGCATTAAGTCGACATAGATCGGTAGATCCTACACAAAGAAAACACATTTACACATTTACATCGTTTTTCACATTGCAAAAACACCAAATCCACCAGTTTTGAACATTCAAAGACACCACCATCATGCAGAATCCCCTTGGCACGCCCTGTTTAACATTTGCAAAATTGTTGTTTCAGGGAACATTTAAAGGACCCCCTTTGTTTGATGCGGTAAGTTTTCTCAAAAACCAACACATCAGTTGGTCTACCAGAACTAAGGGTGAACAAAACCAGGGTTGTGAGCTGAGCGATCTGGTGGTGTTGAACCAGCCATTGGACTAGAAGTTTTGTTGCAGGAAACCATGGATTTTTATATTTGGATCTGGAAACGAAGTTACGCCCATACAATAGTAACTTAAGGGGGAAAATGATGATAACTACCAAACTTGTGTGTGTGTGTCCAAATGAATGATTTTAGGATAGTTTAGGATTTTATTATAAGCAGCTGCAATTCATTCCAATGAACAACCCACCATTGATTTTTGTGTGACATATGAATTTGAAGTTTAACTATTTCTTGGTTGGTGATTTCAATATATTTCCACTCATTCAAAGGGGACATTCACCAGTAAGATTAAACATATCTGAACAGGATGGGGCCCAGGAATGTTTGTTGGTTTAAAAGCCATGATAATCCCCTATGAACCATAGTTGTCTATAGTTAAATCTACTAATAAAACCCATTAACCATAGTTTATATACTTATATCTATCATAAACCATAGAATTCAGCCACAAAAAAAAGGCGTTTCTGAACGAGTCCCTCTTAGCTCCCCCATGTGTTCCAGGTTTCCCAGCACAGCTCTTCGATGTTTCTACGAGGTGCCACAGTTTGTTGTTTTTGTTTGTTGGTTTAAAAAATAAGTACCCTCTGGTAATTTGTTACATAGCGAACTGGAAAATGGCCATAGAAATAGTGGATTTACCCAGCTATAAATAGTGACTTTCCATAGCTATGTTAGTTTACCAGAGGTTAAGTATAGGTAAACTATAGGACTTATGATAGATAATGTGGGTAAAAATAAAAATAAACCACCCCCCAAATCACCATGTTTAAAGGTGGTATGTTTATCATTCCCAGTCATGGGTGGTTTATGACATCGTTTTACCCACATTACATCTATACTGTATAGTTCATGGGGTTTATAAACCAACTTCTGGAGGGCACCATCTTGATCCTGCAAACAACCTCCAGAAAGCTGCGACAAACTCGTTACGGGGTGTATGTTTACTCGACTTACACGAAGATCATGAGGCGAATCTAATATATTGAGACCATCGTCTCATCTCATCTTCTGGAATAAAACATGAAGGCATTAAACATGCAAGGTCAGGCCCTTCAGAGATGTTTTTGGGTTGATAAGCCTATAGTTCTATCCCGCATAGACCGTATATTTATATAACGACGTTATAAGTCAACTGAGCTCACTTGAACCCACAAACCAAAATTGTCCAACTTTAGTTGGCTAAGTCTCCCCCTGGTCCCTTGAAAGAATCGGCATGCGTTCAGTAGCGGGATTTGGTTGCAAAGCTCGTCCGCCAACCGACACAAATGGATTCGCGGAGTGCACCCGGCAAGGCCTCCCAAGGGCCGACACAACAATTTGACTCCATATCAATTGGCTGACAAATGTGCATATATATATATATATTACATATATATATATATATATACATATATTACATATATATATATACTACATATGTATATATACTATATATTTCAAGTATATATATATTATATTAAATTATATTAAGTATGTATATATATATATTATATTAAAAAAAAATAAGTATATATATATATATATATAAATGTGTCTGTAAATAATTCTATGCATATATACTATATCTACATATATGGAGGTTTCTTAAAATAGGGCTACCGAGACGCTGGCAGCGAGAGTTGGGATCTTCCTTAGGCACAAAAAAGGTGGACAGGTCGCAGCTACGGGATGTAATCGCCAATAAACTAGGAACAATTTGGGTATATAATTTTGATGATTTTTGTATATATTATTTTATATACTATTATATATATAGAGATAAATTGGAAAGAATAAGAATAAGAATAGAATAGAATAGACTAGAATAGACTAGAATAGAATAGACTAGACTAGCATAGAATAGAATAGACTAGAATAGACTAGAATAGACTAGAATAGAATAGAATATAGAATAGAGAATAGAATAGAATAGACTAGACTAGAATAGACTAGAATAGAATAGACTAGCATAGAATAGACTAGACTAGAATAGACTAGAATAGAATAGACGGGTATACATCAACCACATAGACCAACAAACAATTTTATCCATGCGTTTTAGTACAAAGGAGGAATCCGATTTTTTTACCCAACCTGGTCCAATGATTTCAAAGTCGTTTGTGTGACCCAACAATGGCGCCTCATCAGCAATTCGACTCAACATTCTTCGGTGTGTTCCAAATTAAAACCTCCAAGAGCGGGACAAAAACACGTGTACACATGTATTTATATTGTATCTGATTCTTTCAAATATTCAACAGCAGCTACGCAATTTCATGGGGATTCAAATTTACCTAGATATGCAATGGAGATCTGGACATGTTCATGTTTTGGGAGGTTGCTTGGAACCTGTGGGGCAATATTTCAGCAATCATAACTCTGAATAGTAGGAAGCAAACAGTGCAACAATGTGCAACAGGGAACAGTCAGCTCCCAGAATTCACCAAGGCCTGTCCGTTTCAGGTTTCAAACAGTTTTGAACAGTATTATTGGAGCCCTCAGCTGGTGGGACGCATATGTATGTTTATATGTATAAATTACACACATGTCATCATTCCCTCAGAAAGTTCAGCTGAACCTGCCAACCATCATGAAACAATATAAACCATTTAACAGTTCACTGTGAAAAATGGATGAATGTGGCCCATTGATAGACTGATAGATGTTTCATGATGATTCATGATGATTCATGATGATTTAAAAAAATCAAAAAAATGTTGATAAACATGATGATAACAATGACTGGTTGGTGGTTTCAATCCCTCTGAAAAAATGAAAGTCAGTTGGGATGATTATTCCCAATATATGGAAAAAATCAAAATGTTCCAAACCATGATTTCTAGAGGATTGACCTCTAAAAAAACATTGTGATGTTGCAATTCCCACGTTCCAACCGTCGCCGTCGTTTGCCTCACACGGGAGACTTTTGGCGTTCAAAAAAACTATGATCGCCTCGAGGAAGGGCGGCTGTGGACCCTTTTGCCCTCCAAATTTCCTCCCCCACAAAAAATGGTAGGTTTATGGCAGCCAGAATTTCCTGCACTTGAATTTGCTGGGGAGATTTTTGTGAAACCGTTTTCATTCAAACTAGTATTTCAAGGTATTTCATGAGATGGGTTGACGGTGAACCATAGGAAAATGGTGGCTCACTTCTGAAAAAAAAATGTGGGATTGGTATCTGATTTGTGATAGCTAAGTTGCTGAATATCACTCCGCCTTCACTATGGTTTGAGATACCTACAACGAAGTAGTATTCATGGAGTTTGCAAAACATTATCCCGGCAAGACACGCCAAAAAGAGTGGGATAGTGGGAGGATACGGTATTACGATGTGGATGAAGATGATGATGATAATGATGATGATGATGATGATGATGTTGATGATGATGATGATGATGACGATGGTGATGATGACGATGACGATGACGGTGAGGGTGATGGTGATGATGATAATGATAATGATGATAACGATGAAGAAGATGATGATGATGCTGGTGATGATGATGATGATGATAATGATGATGATTATGATGATGATGATGATGGTGATGATGATGGTGGTGGTGGTGGTGACGATGACGATGATGCCGATAATGATGATGATGATGATGATGGTAGGGATGATGGTGAGGATGATCATGATGCTGAGGTTAATGATGATGATGATGGTGATGATGATGATGATGATGGTGATGATGATGGTGGTGATGATGATGGTGATGGTGATGATGATGGTGATGGTGATAATGATGGTGAGGATAAGGATGATGATAATGATGCCAAGATTTTCACAAGAGCAACTTTAGACGGAAATTTACAGGAAAAATGCCGCGCCCCAAAGCCGCGGCGCACACTTTGTGCGAGCTTGTGCAATCGAAGCAAGCGTCAAGATTTCACAAGAGCCACTTTATTCAAAAAATGCAGTAAAAATGAAGCTGCCCAAAACCACGGCCCACACTTTGTGCGAGCCTGCGCAGTGGAAATGCATGTCAAGACTTCACAAGAGCCACTTTATGCGGAAATTTAAGATGTCAAGATTTCACAAGAGCTTTATACGGAAATTTACAGGTAGAATGCGTGAGAACAGAGTGAGCACCCTGATCAAGCACCGACCTTTACTCCTACCGTAAGAACCCCTCAGTCTGGACACACTGTTTGGGAAAAAAACATATCTGGGGGGCCCCGCCTTGTACTGGGTAAAACGCAATTTTTAAGGGTACAAACGGAGGCTCGAGGTGTATTGAATATGTGTCTACACACATAATATATATATATTATATACCTGACTGTATACCATTGACATCTAAAGTGCGCATGACATCGTTCCATGTTCTGACAGTGATGAAGTTCCGACAAAATGAACGATGGAGGTGAACCTCCCAAGGGTCGAGTCGTGCATCTGTTGCCAGTCACTCCCCTGGTGTAGTTTTCTCCTCCATCCATTTTTTTGGGGAAAAAATGGCAAGGATTAGTTTCATGCGCCTTGGAGGTTTACATGGGTTTACTTTGTTTTTGCTGGATGGCATGCTATGTTTGTGTGTGGGTGTGGCAAGTTTCCATATCTCCCACAATGTGGGGCCCCCGAATTATAAGTTGGTTTATAAACCCCATCAATTCATAAACTCATATATATATATATACACATAATAATATCATATAAGTATCATAAACCATAGTTATCAGAGTTATGTGGCCCCGAACTTTGCGATTTGGCAAGCGTGGCCCCACGTTGCAGCTTTGGTTCTGTGATCATCCCAGTAACAGCGGCGCCCAGCTATACACCAGGAAAAAAACGGTTCCACCGTTACACTTGATATAAAAATACCACCCAAACGGGCCCAAACGGCACGTTCCACCTCCAAATACCACCCAAACGAAACCCTGCTTAGGTACTGGGAATATTTCGTATTTAATCTGAAGGGGATAAGATTCGATAAGATTAAGTAGTCAATTACCAATGGTTTTACATGGTTTTACCATACACTTTAGTCATACCCTGGTTTGGTATCATAATTCATCACGTCCTTTTTCGATGATCCTCCCAAACGTTCGGCCGTTCGGCCGGCCTTCCAGTAGACCCATTCGAAAGACCTTGAGATGCTCTGCATGGCTGTGGGCACACGTCATGTTCTCCTCCTGAAAAGGCCATGAAATGGGGACAATCCAGTTTATGGCCATGAATGTGAACATGCTTTAATCGATTTGGTTCAAGGAAACCACCATCAACTATGTTCATGATATGGGGGTGGATCCGGTGGATCATGATGGATCAAACCCATTCAAAACAACCCAAAAAAATACTTGGCAATTGGCTGTGAACAACTCCCACATGGAACAATTAATCAATGGGTGTAGGTCCACAAATATTATATTAGTAGGCTCACCTCAGCAACTGGCCAAATATCACTGGAAGAGTTTGGCACCATGGCTGCTATACCGAACATGCGGAAGGGGAAAGGGCCAACTTCATTCATACAATGGGTTCACATTCCCTATGGCATAGTCTACATACTTAAATCATGTATGAATAATGAAGTATTTAACAAAACCATCAAAAACACATTAAATCATTACATATTAGGTAGTAATTATTGAACAAAACCCACCAAAAAAACATTAAATCATTAAACCGCCTGCAATTCCAAGTTGAACAGATCGAAAAAAATCCTGACAGGGTTCGATTGCGAAGAAGGGGCCATTTTCAGAGGTGGGCAAAGCAAAAATGACGCCCGCATTTGCATACACAGATCCCAAATTACCCCAGAAAATCTCAATGACTCCTGAATTCCCCTGGTTAATTGTGGTTTATCATTAAAAAAAGTAAAACTATTCAACTTCATAGATTGATTTGCATTATACGTCTATTCATATTCATTTATTGTGCATCTGCAGCATCACTCATCTCCAAAAATATTCATCGGCACCGGGTCAATCCTCCAGGTGGGCTTTCTTCTGGGGTTTTGACGTGGCACGCATTGCCTTCATGACCTGGTCGCCATTGCAGGACCAGAGTTTTCACAACAAAGATAGCTATTGAAAAATGGTGATTTATAGTGGATTTACCCATTAAAAATTGTGATTTGCCACAGTTATGTGAAAATTTACCAAGAGGGTAAATATGGTAAATATCATGTGAGTTTGGGCAAGTGGCAACAAACTTATGTTAAACTTCATGTTTCAACCACCAAGAATATACGGAACCAACCAATTGAAAACTATTCTTGCTATGTGCACTAACATGACGATGTTAATTTTGACTCTTGCTGTGAAAATATGGATTTCCAGGTGACTCTTGCTGTGAAAACTATTCTTGCTGGTGACTGGCGTCTTGCCACGGCCAAAAAAGACAGTTTTTTCTGAGATATGTAAACTGAAACGAAAAGTGATTCGCAGGTGGGGCACATCTGACACATGTCCTGCAGTAGAAAAAAAGAACAATCGGCCACTTGCAGCGGCTATATAAATCCTCTGTAAATGAACATGTCGTCATGTTCTCTTGATCACACACACACACTCTCTCCCTCTCTAAATATATATATACATTTAAAAATAAATACAGAAAATCATATGACAAAATCTAATGCAATAAACAAAGTATGATGAACAAATACCATGTATATAATATAATATAGTATATCATAATAAAGAAAAACAAAATTACATAGTATACTATATTGAAAAAAAAAAACATATTGTTTCAATAAAGAAACATCTGATATAATAGCAAAAACATATAAACAAAATCAAATAATATATGAGAGCATAATATGATTTCAAGAAAATAGAATATATACTATGATACCAAATATACAATATAGTAAAACAAATATCGTTCAAAAAATGAGACAATCAATGACATTATAGTATAGTAAAAAATCAGATGATAATGATAGGAATACTAACAATAGTTCATATATGTATTATATATATATATGTCGTACAAAATATGAATATATATATACACATAATAATTCAAATATACATATCTAGAAAATAAATAATTAATATATAATATTCATATAAACATCAACACACACACATATATATATATATTTACACACTAGTAAACACCTATAGTATATGAAAATAATAATAAAAAACAATAATCACTATTTATAACATATATACAACTTTAAAAAAAACGTTACACATTATCATGTCATATGATAAAGTATTACTAAAATACAGTCAAACATGATAAAGCATAAAATGATACTATCTATCTTTAAAAAAAACATTAGAAAATAAATGTGTGATTTAATATGTTATAACAAAATACCAAACAAAACTATTATAATGGAATACAATAAAACATATATATATATAAGAAGGTAACATATAAAATAAAAAATACACGTTTATATAATATAGTATGTTCATGTGTATCTATATATATATATATACACTTAATGTGTATGTATATACATATATATGTATATATTCAAATATTATGAGGCTACACGGTCGTCACAAACATCTTGGAATTAATGCCTAGACAGCAATACACAACTATGAAACCTCCGCTTAAAGATATATATATATATTTGAATATTTTTTAGGTATACAGCATACCTCCATTTTAAGATGCTTTAAAGTAAACTTTCTGCTTGGATGTGCCACACTATTAAACACTGGCTGAATTGTTTTTTTGACAACGAACCTCAAAATAATTGAAATGATACTGAAATAAAACAGAATCAAACCAGTTATGGGGATGGTTCCCCAAAACTGGAATGATCATCCACATGTTCTTTGCTGACAGCAACGTGGGCCTCTGGGACGCCAAGGATCCCCGCCTTGCTGAGTTTCTTATCGAGTTGCTTGATGTCAGAATGCATCGCAACCTGCCGATCCAAAGGAAGGTGGCACTGGATGATTCAGCCATGAGATTTGGTATAACAATAATGAAAATACATGAACAAAATCTGGAATACAATGGGCACTTAATATTATCCCAAAGGATCCAATGCTGCATGCTGATTAGTAGCTAGGGTAGCTTTTGTAGAAATGTTGGCATCATTCAAAACCTAACCTTGGGTTCCTTGGTTCGCAATTGTGTTTTTTTTTGGGGATGCCAGATGCCACTAAAAGACACTGCTTCTCTTCCTCAATTCTCCTTAGCATTTGAATTTGACTCCGTGTTTTTCATATGTTCAAGCCTTTCCCAAAGGATCCAAATCTTCTGTTACACCTTTAATTAAAAAGAAACGCTCCTGGACAAATTTCCAAACCACTAGACCATGACAGCACGCAGTTCACTGTAGGTGTGTTACCTAGGTTCAGAATTGCAGCGATTTTTCTTGAGATGATCCTGGGGCCAAGAGAAGAGAAACATTTTGCAAAAGCAATTGCCACTTTCAAACGTGAAACCATTCCTAAATCATGTTTATCTCTCTGCTCCCTCTGTTCCCTCTTCCTTTCTATTTCCCAACCTAACAAGTAAGTGTCTCTAGATTTTACCAGAGTTGCTTCCTCCTTCTCTTTCGTGCGCCGCTTTCACACTTAAATCCGCCCTCCGCCTGGTCAATGGCCCGTGCAGGACCTTTGCATCGGAGTATGCCGTCTATGAACTCATCCAGAGTGACCTACAAGGGCGGCATTTTTTAATGCCCACAAAGTCAGGCCCCCAAGATAGTTAAGTTGGCTTAACATGCTTATAACAACAATACCTATATTTTGGGCGTATGGGGAAGTCATTTATAGTTAGATGCGGTTAAACACTGCAGAAATATTCGTGCTCACGCTCTAGCCATCTTGCCAAAATGCTCAAAAATTCACAACATGCTCGCTCACACGCGCTTGGACCTGATGAATCTTTCAATCCCCCCAAATAACCATCATCAACAATCAAAACGCCTCTCCATCACCGTCATCCAGAAGATGGAAGAGGGCCGAAGTTTCGGTCCTTTGTCGCCGAAGTGGTACCGGCCAAAAGCACTCAGGTTGACGGGTAGCTTGGTAGGAAACCATTGCGTCCACCTATCGTCGAACTTTCACCTATTGGTACATTCTAAAGATTGATTTGCAAGACATTAACCTCGACCTCCCATTACCATTGCTATACACGAAACAAACTGCACTTAGGAGTCTGAAAAAAAAACAACGCGCCCCGAGCACCGTGATTCCCCCTAGCAACCCACTTCGTTCTTTCTCCATGGATTCCATATAATATACTACGCATTTTTCATGCGCCACTGCATGTGCAGCTTGTGAAACACCACTCCGAGCGGCCGCACCTGACAGAGGCAATTTATCTGCAAACCTTTCAGCGCATGTAAAACAACTAAGCCTTGGACAGAACAAATCAAACGTAGCCACTCCAACATCACAACATATCACAAGTGTTTTTCATACCTCAAGCGCGCATTGGCTATCATTAGCTACACGTGACAGTCATCACCAATATCAATATAACATCAACAGGCAAGCCAACCCGTCCGAAGAATCCTCATGCAGGCGTAACCAGCATGCACCATGACCGCATCACAGCAACAATACAAAGCACACACACACACGACATGAACACTTGAGTCAAACGAGAAGATAACGAGAATGATGAAACCATGCGTGAACCCAAAATGTGCAAAGACAAGAACGAAAAGAACAAAAATAACGCCACCCACAAGCTCAAAACCTTATGCCTTCTGTTTGGACCTTGCGAAAAGGGGTTCCTAAACACACATGTCATCGCGGACAGAACAAGAGGGTCAAGTGGTACATTTTTTTCACTCGTTTCGTGCAAGACCCTCGGATCACATCAGGTGAGAAATGCCAACATCATGCATGTCAAAGCCAACGCTCAAACCACGGCGCCATGTCTTACCAAGGAAATGTCTTAATTATAAGGACTTCCCTGAACTCACCGTCGAAGCTGATGAGTGTGGCTTCAGTAGCTTCAAGCATTTTACGCTGCACAGGTATATGACTCAACTTTCGTCCTTTGGATAGCGGGGTCATGCATACATTCATGCATGGTCAAGATAGCCTTCAAATTTGTGTGCCGCAGCCTTGCCCGTTTGTTAAAGCAAAGCTAGCGAGAACATTTGCCAATTTCTACAAGGACCAACCTACCCAACCTTGTAAGGCCTTCGACTTTGCTGTTCAGCACTCTGCCAAAGCCATAGTAGCCGCCAGTGCCAAGGTCATCCATCTCTTAATTAAGCGTTTCAAAACTGCCGTTTGGCACTCTTTCTTTTTGCAGGGGCCAACCTGCCCAGCCTTGTAATTAAAGCCTTGGAAGCTGCTGTTTGGCCCTGTGCCTAGGCCACATCAAGCAAGCAAGGCCCATCTCATCCATCTCTTCAGGGTGCCTTTGAAGCTGCTGTTCGGCCCTGTAGGCCAGCAGTGCCCACGTCATCCGTCTCTTACGAGTTTCAAAACTGCCCTTTGAAACGTGCCCAGTGGGCCGCCAGTGGCCCGGTCATTCATTTTTTTTAAGGGTTTCAAAACTTCGGGGTTTCAAAGCTGCCGTTTGGCACTTTTCGTTCAACCTGCCCAGCCTTCCTGCTCCCAAAACAGGGGGTCGGCTGCACCAGGCGTTAGCCCATTTATAACTGTACAGGCTTTAGACCCGGCCAAATGATGCCAAATGCTTGTACACCAGGACTTTACTTGAGCACAAGCTGGGGAGGAGTGGGCACAAAAAGGACGAAAAACCACACAGAACCAGCTATTTGGGCAAATGCGGCGTGCATCCCATAGTTTCCAGAAAAAAAATATGTGCTTGAAAATGAGGTGGTTTTCACAATTTGCCTGTTTCCTACTAAAGCGTTACAACCCCAAAGTCCCAAAGTACACATTTATCTTACATGTACCTGTGGGTGGTGCAGGGAACCAATGGTGAACCTATATTTAGCAACTACCCTCTTGTAAATGAAGATAAACACAGCCAAATGGGAGGTTGGAAGGTTAAAAATATATTTTCCTTATATACATATAAAAACAGACTATTTTCAAAGTCTATGTGGACTTACTGGATGCTACATGGTTTAGGTGCTCCCCTTCGACGACAGTCTGTCGAGTTGCACATCCACGTCCAGCGTCTTGAAATAGGCTTGCACCTGGCCAAGTGTGGCAGATTCATCCCCCAATGAACGGAATGCATGGTTATCTAATGGTTATCTAATGGTTATCTAATGGTTATCTAACGGATTCCTACCAAATTTATCCTCCGGTGTTCAAACATGGCAATGGAACATCCCCACTTTAATATACCAAATAATGGGAGAATATGGCCAAAGAATCTATTCATTCATGGCTCCTCACAATTTGCCATGTTTGATTGCCGGCGACTCTTTTTGCGGTTAGCGCCTTTCTTTATCCACCAGTGTAGTTTGTAAATTGTTTGAACGCCCGACTAGAGAGTCGCAAAAATTCTAGGTTTATCTTCGTTTGTTTGTTACGTGGTTAAGCCCCATTGATTCCAAAAACACAGTATTTTTAACTGTTGTTTAAGAGTGAAAGTCAAGAAGGATCCAAAAACAAACAGTTGGGAATTTCTCTGGTTCTTGGGTTGCCACAGGCCAATGACTCCCGATTCCCATGGTTTTTTTTAAGGATTGCTCAAAAAAAATCCTGACTTTCTTGGGCTACTGGCTACTGCAGCCAAACTGGCTAAATTATGATCATTCACCATGAGGTGGTGCCCCCTAGTTAGCTAAGTTGGCTCAAGATTGGGTCAAGTATGGTTCACGGTAGATAGACAAGATAGGCAAGATAGGTAAGATAGATAAGATAGATAAGATAGATAAGGTCGGTAAGAAAGATTAGATAGATTAGATAGACTAGATAGATTAGAAAGATTAGGTAAATTACATGGATTAGATAAATAGATAGATAGATACATAGGTAGGTAGATAGATGGATAGATAGATGAGACAAAATAGAAAAGATATATTAGAAAGATAGATAGATAGATAGAAAGATAGATAGATAGATAGATAGATACATAGATACATGAAAAAATAAATAAATAAATAAAATAAAGAAATAGGTATATAGAAAAATGGGTCAGATCGGTCAGGTAGATTCGGTAGATTAGATAGATCGATAGATAGAAAGATATATAGATAAATAGATAGATAGATATATATAGATAAATAGATAGATAGATAAGATAGATAGATAGATAGATAGATAGATAGATAGATAGATAGATAGACAGATAGACAGATAGATAGATAGATAGATGGATGGATGGATAGATAGATAGATAGATAGGTAGATAGGTATATAGATAGATAGATAGATAAATAGATCGATAGATAGATAGATAGATCGATAGACAGATAGACAGATAGATAGACAGATAGATAGAAAGATAGATAGATCGATCGAGCGATCGATCGATAGATAGATAAATAGATACAAAGGATCGATACGATAGATAGGTAGATAGATAAACAGATAGATAGATCGATAGATAGATCAATAGATAGGTATATAGATAGCTGGGTCAGATAGATCGGAAAGATTAGAAAGACAAACAGGTAGATAGATAAAAAGATAGGTATATAGATAGATGGATCAGATCGATCAGTTATTTCGTTGAATCAGAAAGAAAGATAGATAGATAGATAGACAGATAGAGAGATAGGTAGATAGATAGATAAGTCAGATAGGTCAGATAGATTAGATAGATTAGAAAGATAGATAGATAGATAGATAGATAGATAGGTAGATAGATAGATAGACAGACAGACAGATAGATTAGATAGATTAGATAGGTTAGATAGATTAGATAGATGAGGTAGATTAGATAGATTAGATAAATAGAAAGAAAGATAGGTAGATAGATAGGTAGATAAGTAGATAGGTAGATAGGTAGATAGGTAGGTGGATAGACAGATGAGATAACATAGATTAGATAGATTGGACAAATTAGAAAGTAAGAAAAAAAAGATAGATAGATGGAAAGATAGGTAGATAGATAGAAATATAGACAGAACATTTCGATAAGATCAATCAATAGATAGACAGATAGATAGATAGATAGATCAATAGGTAGAAAGATAGATAGATAGACAGGAAAAGATCGATAAGATAAATAGATAGATAGATAGATAGATAGAAAGATAGATAGATAGATAGAAGACAGATAGAAAGATTGGATCGGTTAGATAGATATATAGTTTAGATAAATTATACAGATTAGATGGATTAGAAAGATTAGATAGATTAGATGGATTAGAAAGATTAGATAGACTAGATAGATTGGAAAGATTAGATAGAATAGATAGTTTAGATGGGATAGATAGATCGATCGATAGAAATGAAAAAAATAGATAGATAGAAAGAAAAAAGTTTAATAGATAGATAAAAAAGACATATAAGATAAGATAACGTGAGGTAATACCAGATAACAGAGAACAAGATAGATAAGATAAGAAAGACAGGATAAGACGCATAAGATAAGATAGGTAAGATAAGATAGAAACGAAAAGAAAGAAAAGAACAGATAGATAAGAGAAGACCGATAGGATAAGAACGAAGAGATAAGATAAGATAAGGTAAGAACATATTTAAAAAAAGAAAAGGAAAGATTAGAGAAGATAGATACGATAAGAAAGATAAGGAAGGATAGATGAGATAAGATAAAAACGATGAGATAGATAAGAAAAGATAGATAAGATAAGAAAGAAAAGAGAAGGTAGAAAAGTTAAGATAGAAAAAAGAAAATAAAAAAAAGGAAAAAATAAGATAGATAAGATAGATAGAAAATAAACGTTAAGAGAGAAAAGAGAAGACAGATAAGAGAAGATAGGTTCGATAAGAAAATATAAACTTAGAAAAAAGGTAGATAAGACAAGAAAGAAAAGATAAGTTAAACAAAGAGAAGATCGATAAGATAAGATAGAAAGGAAAATATAGATAAGAAAAGATTGATAACAGAAGATAGATGGGATAAGAAAGATACGTTAAGATAGGTAGGATAAGAAAGATAAGACAGGAAAGGTAAGATAAGATAACATAGGAAAAGAAATTATTGATAAGGTAAGATGGAATAGGAAAAGATAGATAAAATAGATAAGATAAAGAAGGTAGATAAGATAGACAAGATAGATAAGAACAAATAAAAAAGAAAGAAAGATAGATAAACAAAAGACGGTAGATAAATAGGGAAAACAAGTAAATAGATAGATAGCTAGATAGATAGATAGATAGCTAGATAGATAGAACGATAGATAGACAGGTGGTTAGATAGATAGATGGATAGATAGGTAGGTAGATAGATAGATTAGGTAGGTAGATATATGGATAGCTAGATAGATAGATAGCTAGCTAAATAGATAGACAAACAAATAGATAGATCCAATATGTCACGTTTCCAATATTTTGGTGACTTCACCGTGGCGTTTAAAACTGTACCAGTCCAGCCTTGGGCTCCGCCAGCAATTGCTCCAGGCGTGGTTGGGTGATCATCCCATCTCCAAACCTCAATGGACTGCTTCGAATCCTAATGGCATCTGATTCTTGAGGTGTGCAATAGGCATGTATAAGTTTCCAAGCGATAGATTGGTGTGGTATATCACCAAACAAGATCGAACATCGAATCGTGTACTTAGTAAATGTGTTTCATGGCAGCAGCAGCAGCAGCAGCAGCAATTGAAGAAACTTGGGAATTAAGTGGTTTCAAATCATTTTTGTGGGTTCTTTTTGGTATTGAAGATGAACAACACTTCATCAGTGGCCTGGTTGATCTTATGTTCTACCCATGGGTCAGCGTACTTCCCATTCAATGTGGCATTCAACCACCAAAAGCGGGTGCAACGCTGTTGACTCAATCCGAATTATCCAACTCCATATTGGCTTGCCTGTTGAAAGGCCCATGTCGCCCGGAGGGTTCAGCGGTACGTGGAACCACTATAGAAAAATTATCCCGGCAAGAGGCCCCAAACAGTGTCGGGGGAGTAAAGAGACCATGTATTATAATGTTGATGATGATGTTAATGTTGCTGATGATGCTGATGATGACGGTGAAGTTGATGATGATGGTGATGTTGATGATGATGATGATGATGGTGATGAAGGTGGTGGTGACGGTGATGATGATGGTGATGATGATGATGATGATGATGATGATGATGATGATGATGATGATGATGATGACAGTGATGATGATGATGATGGTGATGAAGGTCATGATTATGACGGTGATGATGAGCATGATGATGGTGATGATGGTGATGATGGTGATGATGGTGATGTTGATGGGATGGTGATGTTGATGGTGATCATAATGATGGCGATGGTAATGATGACGATGATGACGATGAGGATGATGGTGATGATGATGATGATGATGGTGATGATGATGATGGTGATGATGATGATGGTGATGATGATGATGATGACGAGGAAAATGATGATGATGAGAGGAAAATGATGATGAGAGGAAAATGATGATGTGGATGTTGAGGAGGAGGAGGAAGATGATGATGTTGAGGGGGAAGACTGATCGCAAGACCGGGAAGCACACTTTGTGCGAGCCTGCGCGATCGAAATGTACACGAGCCATTTTGCGTGGAAATTTACAGGGAAAATGCCGGACGCCAAGTCCGCGACACCCGTTTTGTGCGAGCCTGCTCAATCAAAATGCACATGGACATGTCGCAAAAGGCATTTTGTGCAAAAAAATACCGGGAAAATGCCAAACGCCCCGGATACCACCTCGATTGAACACCGGGCCTTACACGTACCGTAAGAACCCCTCAGTGTGGACACGCTGTTTGGGGAATAAGGAATTGCCAATGACCATGCTTACGACACGTTATTCTCTGAGAGAGCGACTGGTTCATGACCGTCAATACAAAATAATTAAACAGTTTTTTAGTTATAATTTATAACTTATAAGTAGCTATACCCTGACATTAATGATGCTCCTTAAATAGCAATCTTTCATAGTTAAATCAACAACCAGCAGGGCTTTCGTTTGCCGCAGACATCCAAGGCGCTCATCCAAAGTGCGGAACACTTTCTCCAACCTCTCAATGTACTCCTGCCCGGGCACGACACGGTTGCAACCTGGTCGTGTTTTCTTTTCCGCGTGTAAGCTATCAAACATATGAACCTCTGGTCGTTTGACATAGCTATGGAAGCCATCATGGCCAATTTATAGATAATAAAACTGATGATATACCAATATTCACCTATTAGAAAAGGTGTTATATACTCACCTAATTGAGTTATATTGAGTTTGTGTTTTCCATAGCTACGTTGAATAACCAAAAGGTTTAAAATGTGGTCGAGTTGCAGAATACGTTGAATTATGTAACTATACTGAGCCCATGAAACATGGAGATGTTGAAGGATGTAAAAACACATGATGGTATGATTTAAGTATGGGAAAGTGGGAATGAACTATCAACAATAAGGGGTCACTGCGGCGCAGCCAGCCACCATTTATTGGGACTAAACCAGAAAAATAGGGAATTGACCCATCATTTCGAATAACAATTCTCAAACACTATGGCACTAAACAATTTCGTACACTATAATTCTGGAAATCTAAAGGTGTCCTCCCTGCCCCCCCTTTCACCTACTGCCAAGAAATTAAACATGTTTGGGGTCCCAATCAATCAATTCCTATGACATGAAACCCCATTGTTGCGAGGCTGTTTCCTGTAATGGGGAAAGTTTGCATGAGGGTGTTGATTTAAGTTTTTTTCCGCGTGTGTTTGCTGATTAATGATTTTCCAAATGTTGATGAATTCAGCCGATGCTTTTCTGATGCAATGCTAGAAGTGGGCGCACCCAGCAAGGAACCTGGAAAACGGACTGGCCAGATGGTAAAAACTCTGAGAACTCGGTTTCTTCTGAGCAAACCCCAGGAAACATAAACACACACACAGGACTGGTTTTGAAGATTGAAACTAGATCCACTTTAGCTCTGCTGAGTCCTGCGTAGTTCATTCTGCTAGGTTTTAATTTTAATCTAGGAGATTTGGCAAATCCCACCTGGCTGTTCCTCGGAGGCCGAGTCGGGGTTGCTTCATGGGCATCCAAGTTGGAAGGAAATAACGCAGCTAAAACCACAGCTCTCCATGAGTAAAATGTACGGACAATTTATGAAAGTAGGCCTGTAGGTATGTATGCATGTATGCATGTATGCATGTATGCATGTATGCATGTATGCATGCATGTATGCATGTATGTCTGTCTGTCTGTCTGTATGTATGTATGTATGTAAGTATGTATGTATGTATGTATGTATGTGTTTGTCTGTATGTATGCGTGTATGTATGTATTTATGTATGAATGTATGTCTGTCTGTCTGTATGTATGCACGTAAGGTATGTATGTATGCATGTATGTATGTATGTATGTCTGTATGTCTGTCTGTCTGTATGTGTATATGTATGTATGTGTGTATGTCTGTATGTTTGCGTGTATGAATGTTTGTATGTAAGTATGCATGTATGTCTGTCTGTCTGTATGTATGCACGTAAGGTATGTATGTATTTATGCATGTATGTGTGTATGTCTGCATGTCTGTCTGTATGTATGTATGCATGTATGTATTTATGTCTGTATGCATGCGTGTATGTATGTTTGTTTGTATGTATGCATGTATGTCTGTCTGTCTGTATGTATGTATGCACATAAGGTATGAAGGCATGTATGTATGTATGTATGTATGTATGTATTTATGTATTTATGTATGTATTTATGTGTGTATGTATGTATGTTTGTATAATTGCATATTTAAATGAAAGTATGTACATAAGGTAGGTAGGTAGGTATGCATGTATGTATGTATGTAGGCATGCACGTATCTATGTAATGTAATGTAATGTATGTAATGTTTGTAATGTATGTAATGTATGTAATGTGTGTAATGTATGTAATGTTTGCAATATATGTAATGTCTTAATGCTATGTATGTATGTATGATACCATCAGCTACTTGGCTGGGACCCTGGATCTTACACTGTAGACCCTAAAAACGGGGTCTGAAGAAGAGTTCCATAGCTAAATCAGGAAAAACAAGCTCAGTGGTCTAGACCCTTCGACTTTACAGATGCTGAAGGTCTGAAGACGTTTACCCATGCGTCAAAAATACCAAAAAAAATGTTTCAAACAACATGTTTTCTCTCGCTCATTTTTTTCTTCGCTGCTGTCACACGTTTTTCACCAGTGCTCTTGGGCTCTTGCCATGAACATCCACACTTCAGGAATGATGCAAATCAGAAAAATTCTGAAAATTTCAGATTTTAATTAAATTTAAATTTAAATTAAATATAATATTCTCAGAAAAATCTGAAAAAATCTGAAAATTTCAGATTTTCAGAAAAAAAGGAAAAATTCAGAAACAATCTAAAAAAAATTCAGATTTTCAGAAAAAATGTGAAAAAATCAGAAAATTTCTGAAAATTTCAGATTTTCAGAAAAAATCTGAAAAACACATAAAAAAAATCGGAAAATTTCAGATTTTCAGAAAATATGAAAAAATCAGAAAAAATCTGAAAATCAGATTTTCAGAAAAAATCTGAAAAATTCAGAAAAAAATTGAAATTTTCAGATTCTCAGAAAAAAATGAAAAATTCAGACAAAATCTGAAAATTTCAGATTTTCAAAAAAAAAATCTGAAAAAATCTGAAAATTTCAAATTTTAAGAAAAAATCTGAAAAAATCTGAAAAATTTCAGATTTTCAGAAAAAGATAAAATTTCAGAAAAAGATAAAATTTCAGAAAAGTCTAAAAATTTCAGATTTTCTAAAAAAAATCTGAAAAAAAAGGAAAAAATCTGAAAACATCAATAAGAATCTGAAAATCTTATTTAAAAAAAATATCAGAAAAAATGAAAAATCAAAACAACATATAAATATATAATTTTCATAAATAAATCAAACTTACCAAAAAAAACTATTTTAATGCAAGTGAATATTGAAAAGAAACTATGTTTCAAAAATACTACAAATTATCTTAAGTCACTGAAAAATGGTGCCGGAGAGGCTATCCAGACCTTTGGGGGTCATTGGAAATCTATGGGTGCAAAAGTCTACAAATAAAATGCATTGGAAATCTAGTTGTGCAAAGGACTAGACCTAACATGGTTGGTCAAAAAAACAGTCTTGATCAGTGCCAGAAAGGCTGCCCAGACCTTTGTACGACCTGGGGAATCTAGAGTGGCGAAGGTCTAGAAACACAATGGCCAGCAAAACCAATCTGTGTTGATCAAGGCCAGAAACGCTGTCCAGACCTTTGGACAAACTTTGGAATCTAGCTTGGCAAAGGTCTAGGGCTACAATGGTCAGCAAACCCAACCTGTCTTGATCAGTGCCAGAAACGCTGCCCAGACCTCTGTAAGAACTGGGGAATCTAGCTTGGCAAAGGTCTAGAGCTACAATGGTCAGCAAAACCAACCTGTCCTGATGATTGCCAGAAAAGCTGTCCAGATCTTTGAAAAAAACAAGATCTGCCTTACATCTTCAAAACAGAAAATTATGGGACATCCATAAATCATGTCCAACATAGACACGCTCAAGGGTCTATAGTACCTTAAATGCGGAGGGTCTACAGTGCTCCTGGAAGTACTCTAGACCCTGGGCCCCTGAAGCCTGGAGGCCTGGTACTCTAGACCTTAAGTAGTTGAGGGGATTATGTATGTCTGTATGCATGCGTGTATGTATGTTTGTATGTATGCATGTATGCATGTATGTTTGTCTGTCTGTATGTATGCACGTAAGGTATGCATGTATGTATGTGTGTATGTGTGTATGTATGTATTTATGTATGTATGTTTGTATGTTTGTAAATTAAAAGGAATGCATGTATGTATGTATGTATGTATGTACGTAAGGTAGGTAGGTAGGTAGGCAGGTAGGTATGCATGTATGTATGTATATATGTATGTATGTATGTATGTAATGTAATCTAATGTAATGTAATGTAATGTAATGCAATGTAATGTAATGTATGTAAGTATGTTTGTATGTTTGCATATTTGTATGTATTTCCGACGTAAGGTAGGTCGCTAGCTAGGTAGGTAGGTAGGTAGGTAGGTAAGCCTGTATGTATGTATGTAGGTATGTATGCATCTATGTAATGTAATGTAACGTAACGTATCGTAACGTAATATAATGTATGTAATGTATGTATGTATGTAATGTATGTAATGTATGTAATGTATGTAATGTATGTAATGTATGTAATGTATGTAACGTATGTAATGTATGTAATGCATATAATGTATGTAATGTATGTAATGTATGTAATGTATGTAATGTCTTAATGTTATGTATGTATGTATGTATGTATGTATGTATGTATGTATGTGTGTATGTGTGTGTGTATGTATGTATGTATGCATGTATGTATGTGTGTATGTATGTATGCATGTATGTATGTATGTACGTATGCACGTACGTACGTACGTATGTATGTATGTATGTATGTTTAAATGTTTGTATGTTTGGTCGTTTGTTTGTTTGTTTGTATCTATGTATCTATGCATCTATGTACCTATGCATCTATGTATCTATGTATGCGTGTAATTTTAGTCTGATTAGTGTGATGGCACCCTATTGTGAGATGTTTTCCCTTCCTAATTGGGTGTCTTGCTGTTTATGGGGGGGAAGGCTCTATTGTGAGAAGATTTTTCTCAGATCCAGTTTTCTTTAGGAAGAGAAAATGGTTCAAGAAAAATGATTAATTGACTACACTTGTTTATTTGCACACCTGGTCCATTTACTTTAGAATGCCATATCCACCTGTCCATGTTAAAGTCTTGAAAATGCAAAGTTTCCCAAAACAATAGATGCCTTATTAAACCCTTATTAAAAATAGCACCAAAACATGTTTTTTAACGGGGCACCCCATGAGTGACCCAGATCCTCAATAATGTACAGTAATTGTTTGATTCCACCCTATTGAATGTGCACATTTTTTTGTGGTTGGAAAAAAAGAGAAATAACATGTTATCCACCTTTCTTTGGGTAAAGCTGGTCCGTTTACTTTAGAAAGCCATATCCACGTTAAAGCCTTGAAAATGCAAGGTTTCCCAAATAATTGGATGCCTTATTAAACCCTTATTAAAAAACAGCACCAAAACAATTTTTCAAGGGGGTACCCCATAAGTGACCCAGATCCTCAATAATCTAATTGTTTCGATGGTACCCTATTGTGCACACAGACTTTTGGTGCATTTTTTTGATTTAAAAACTATCTATCTATCTATCTATCTAT